GATATCGTCAAACATATATTTTATTCAAAAATAAAAATATCATCGCTTTCTCAAAATCACATAAAGTCATATTATAACATCGACTGAGATAAAAAATAAAATRAAATATTAAAAACACGATGTATCTCGCTGCATTGCGCGAGTACGCTTCTAGTATGGATTAATATATAGAAGTATATCTACAAAATTGAGATTTAAATAACTTGAAAAATAATTTAATTAATAAATACATTAAAAAAAACATATAAAAATAATCTATCAGAGTTAACCAATCCTACAACAAAAATCGTTAAGACTAGACTTGGATCAAATCCATAACTCGTCTTGAACCTAGAACTATTTATGCTCCTCTCTTATCGTCTTATCCGTCGTATTTTCAAGTCAAATTATAGCTTTTTTGCATTGTTGACCAGCCGTCTTTGTTGGCTTCGGACCAAGGTTTTCAACCCGATGAATCATTATCTTCAAACCAATGGTAACAACTCGTTCGACACATTATAATTCAAAGAAATGTCATGCTATAATGATTACATTTACCAACAACTTAAGACCCTATTATTATTTATACACTTTTTTTGTTTTTTTTTCCAACATAATGATTAACGTTCAAACTAATTTACATATGAACCAGTATGAGGAAAATTAACAAAAGAAAAGACTAATTAGGATCGGTCTTTGAAGAACCAGACCCAATTTCTAAAGCCTAGTACTTTTAATGTATTTGTAGATAAAAATATAAACCAGTGGATATTGAGGTTCCACAAACGGTACTTCTCGATACTGTATTTGAAGCATCCTTTCCACGGAGGCAAATCTTTGCCTGTTAGATAAACCCACTTTCCGAAGATTTCTTCCTTCTCTTCGGATCGACCCAATTGCAAGAGCAGAGCTCTACCAACTGAGCTATATCGTGGAAGATAATCAAATAGAAATTAATCTCAATTTCGATCATTTTGTAATAGATAGAATAATTTAATAAGCCAATGATTTTTTCTGATCATAGAAAAGATTTTCTTCAAAGAATGGGACCCATTATAAAATAGACAATGCATTACAGACGTATGATCATTCAATCGGATTATTAATCATCTAATTAAAAACGACATGAATTTTAGGTATATTTATATTGATTTCAATTTGATTTTTTAGAGTTATCCTTTTATACATGTGTTGAATTCAAGAAATACCACCGCATAACACATCACATCATCCATAACTCTATTTATATGMYATCTAATGCTATAAGTACAAGCTACCCCAACCTCATTCATGGACATATTATCAAACTAAAATGAAAACACCATTCTTCATTTTCATCGTTTTCTCCACACTCTCACTTTCCATCGGCCAAAACCCGGATCCGGTCCTCGACCTTACAGGGAGCACCGTCCGATCTGCCCTCAGATACTACGTCATTCCCGCTATACGTGGCAATGGTGGTGGCGTAAAACTAGCGCCAACAACAATAAACCAAACATGCCCACTCGATGTTGTTCAAGAAAACAACGAATTACTGAACGGGTTACCATTGACTTTTCTACCAACCAACACCAACAAAGATGGGACCATCTTCGAATCCACTGATCTTAATATTAAATTCTCGGATGCAACAACCTGTGGTCGGCCTGCAGTGTGGCGAGTGGAGGTTTCTGGAGGGCAACGGGTGGTGTCGAGCCGTGGGATGGTCGGAAACCCAGGGCAGGAAACGATAAGTAATTGGTTCAAGATTGAGAAGTATGAGGACGGGTATAAGGTGACATTCTGCCCCTCGGTATGCAATACTTGCAGGCCAGCTTGTGCAGATATTGGTTCTACTATTGCTAAAAACGGACGTAGAAGTCTGGTTTTAAATAACGTGCCTCTTAAGGTCGTGTTCAAAAAGGCAGATTGACTTTTATACCCATCTTGAATGATTATATATACTTTCATCTACTTGTGGTGTAATTATTATATGAAATAAAATAAAATAAAATATTTGATAATAATTTTAATTTAAGAAAATGATAATAAAAACTTAAAAAAAAGATTAATTAGGATGTCTAACAATATATGATTTTTGTACAAATTTTAATACAAGATTGAGTTGAAATACAACAATTTTAACGGTGCAAAATTCGCAAGACATGACGACTTGTTTTTACTATGACATAATTATTAATATGTAAATAACTTCTTCTTGATAAAAAAAAATTTAAGACGTTACTGTTTTTATATTGATCAATTTTGAAAACTCGTATAATTACATGACATGATTTATATTTTATTTGATTGAAGCTTAATTATTTCTTATTGATCAAACTCTATTTATAYCGTAAAACCAATGTCTGTCTGTATGATTAAAAAGATCATACTAATCTAGAATTTAGGTAAGAAGTTTTAAAGGTTAAAAAGATCGATCGTGTGCGAAAATTGTTCCGTCTGAACCAGAAAAATAGGGTAGAAAAAAATAATCCAGACATGGATAACCAAATAAAAATGTCCCTTAGATTTACTCTAATTTTAGGAAGTGATACAAGAGGTTTTCTTATATGATTACCCAGACCCAAATTGTATTATATATATATAGGGGAACGTTCAAATAAAAACCATTCAATTTGTAAAAACCGTGAAAACCTCATTCAACCAATCATAAATTTTCATTTTGTTCATTTTTTTTTTAATTATGAGAGGTTGATTAACCATTTTTATTGTGGAAGGTATTAATCATGGATATTATCATCTTCATTATTTTAATTTTAGAGAAATATATGAAACAGTTTCATTAAAATTTCATTAAATATTATATGAAACAATTTCATGACCATATATGAAACAAATTCATCAAAAAAAGTATTATATGAAACAATTTCATGAAAAAATTTCATAAGATTAAACAATTTCATAAGATTAAACAATGAAATCGACATATGAATGTGGTTTGTACGGTTTTTACAAATGAGGGTGATTTTCATTTGATCGCTCCTCTCTCTCTCTCTCTCTCTCTCTATATATATATATATATATATATATATATATATATATATATCTATACTATATTATAAAGCATTTGGCTAAAATTCTTAAAAACTCTTAAAACTCTTAAACTCTTAAAAACTCTTAAACCCGTTCATCTCTATCCGATTTCATTCCATATCTGAATTCGCGTAACTAACTGCAGATAAACACAATCAAATACAGGATAAACAACTCATTTTAAATATAAAAAATCTAAAATATAATTAGGATAATCATTGAGTTCTAACAGAATACTTAATTATTATTTTTATAAAATGTTATATTAT